AAAAAAAAAAAAAAAGTAATTATTTCATGAAACACACTGGTCTGCAATAAGTCACATGGTTCAATAATTTGGATCTACAGACTTGCTTATTTAAAAGTTGATATATTTTATAGACTGATTTACTCTGCTTATGTAAGGCAAAATACCAAATATAAGTAAACTAAAATAAATAAATTGTCCACATGGCCCGAGGATATTTTAATGGGAAAAAACAATGGTAGAGGTCTTAGATGCTAACAGACTTTTTCAAACTACTTTTCCTCACAAATGAGGAGATAATGTGATGAGAGACATATATCATACCTGTTTGATAGGTTCTGCGATTAAACAGCCAACTACTCTCTTTTCATCAGATACAAAGAGAAAAGTTTTAGTTTTGTTTGAACATTTGGGAATGACTTGCTGGAAACCCAACTCATGATCCACAAATTCTTTTACCTCTTCTACCTACAAAAACCAAGAGGTGAATTTGTTTCAGAGAGTACAACAAAAACTATATATAATTATTACCATTATACTATCAACATATGATTATATATTATGTCAGCTTATGAGTTAGCCTCTTATATTTCTATTTCCCAAATCTGTACGCCTCTAAAATTAAGTTTCACTATTAAGGTATACTTCTAGTAGTTGAGAAAGCTTTACAAACTTACTATTTTCTTGTTTTCTATGCTTGTCTTGGGTCTTGAGCTCTGGACTTGAGTGCTGTCTCTGAGCTCTTTTGCTCAAGGCTACCACTTGAGCCACAGCCCCACTTGTGACTTTTAGTGGTTAATTGGGGATAAGTCTCATGGACTTTCCTGCCCTGCCTGGGCTGTATTTGGTTGAACTCAATCCTCAGATCTCAGCTTCCTGAGTGTTTAGGATTAACATATGAGCCACCAGCACCCACTTTATAAACTTTTTTTTTTTAATTGTGAAAATACCATACAGAGGGGTTACAACTGTGGGCAAGGTAATGAGCACATTTCTTATCAAGCATTGTTATCTCCTCCTTTGTTTCCCCTTCCCATCCCCCACCTCCCCCCAGACCAAAGTTGTAAAGTTCATTTTTCGACATAACGTCTTGTACATTGTTGCACTGGGGGTCCACCTGTATCCCTATTTAAATGATTTGTTTTTCCCCTTCCCCTCCACAAATTATACCAACATCAAATACAATGAAAGCAGGGGTTATACCGTGGAGGAGGGACATACAAAGCAACAAAGAAATCATCTTATAAATATGTTAGAAACAATCACAAGAAAAAAAAATCTGAATACTTATCTTGGGGTTCATTTC